ACTGTAGATCGTGAACATCCCACGAGTCATGCAGTTTCGGAAATACTTGTCCCGAGCCTTCGAGCCATTACAATCTGCCCTCTATCAAAGTCGCTTAGATCCGCAGCCTTTCCCATCACCATACAGAAGTAAGTGAAAAAATGATTCTTCAGACTCTCCAGCAGCAGTTAAATATCTCTTCCACCTGATCACGTGCCTTCCACGTCATCCAGGTGAGTTTAATGCAAAATGTAGGTGTGGTCATAATGTTTTGGCGAGTGTATAATTAATACATAATACAACTAAATCTGTATCTGTTTTGTACTTCTATCTTCTAATTCTGCATGTATTGCTACCGGTATCGTATTGTTTTAAATATACCTTACAGCGCAGCACCCTCAATCATATTCATAGATTGGTTTGGCACATCCAAGGCTATAAGTTTGACGAATCCTATTCTAATACGTAAGGTGGTGTTTGAATTTTAAAGTAGACTCTCTATTTATTTTGCTTATAAAATAAATTTCAGTCATGAGTTATGTTACAACCGATGCTTTAATCTCAATGCTCTAACAAATAATGCATTTTAATAGTCTTTAAGGTTTCCGAACACGTTGAAAATGACCAAATTCAGTCATGAAAGATATTTCTGTTTTTTATTTTATTCAATAGAGCTAATTTTTTGGACTTTACGAAACATACTTTGTTTTGTTAATACACTACCTAGAGGCCAAGTTACAATCAATTTTATAAATTTAGAAAAACCGGAAATAGGTTTTTGATCTGCCAGAAGTGGGCATTTAAATTGCTCAAATCTATCATGGCGAGTCTGATTACTCAAAATATTACGAATGTATTTCTATAAAACTTTTTGAACCTGATATATTTATCTTATTCTAGAGAACGTACTAAAATATTTCTTATTATATGAGTACTTTTTCAGTTATGGCTTGTTATTTAAATAATGATCTCATGAGAAATGTAACATTTCTTATCATGTTTAATCAATCAGCTCTAAAATTTTCAAATTTTAATAAAAAATTTAAATTTTAGTACATTTTCTAGATTAATGCATCTAATTTGTTTTATTAATACTTTTACTAATATATGTTTATTACTTTTTTCTCTAACTGCTTTGAAGTTTTTCAAAAAATATTGCTAAAATTTCACTTATAATTGTGATTTTTGGAAAATTCAAGTAATTTATTTTAAATTTTGATATTTAAATAGTAATATTTATTGATATTGAGTCCTAAAAGAGCATTTATAATGTTCAAATATGCTATTTTGTTAAAAAGTACTCCGAAAGTGTTCGGATACCTGAAATGTTACAACCAATGCTTTAATCTCAATGCCCTAACAAAGAATGCATTTTAATAGTCTTTAATTCAATCATACGCGTATCACGAAAGGGAATATGCAAGTTCATTATAAATCTACGAGTTAAATTTTATAATTACAAATATTGCTGCATGTTAGTCAATTGCTAAAATTATTCCCAGTTGTTGCTTTGCCGACATGCATCTGTGTTTGAACTGTTAGCGTGTTTATTATGGCGTTCCTTTGAGGTGGGAATTCATAGTGGAAACTCACCAACACGACTGCATATGTATTTATACAAAATGGGGAGTTGTGATTTCGCTTCGACAAGTCCCATTTAGAGCTGTGCAAAATTAACTTCTCTTCCCCTTCGTGGCATCAGCAGCAGCGAATATTCAAATGTGTCGAACTGACAAGATTTTAGCTATTTTAGCTATTACTCATTTCTCATCTTATCTCAATACGAAATTATGTCGAAATGCCAGTGTTAATAATATATACGTTTATGCTTATCTACAGACCCTTTTCTTGTTTCTACGCGGGAAGTAATACGATGGTTTTCAAGTAAATATTCTATATATATGCATAATTTTCTGGATATATATAGTGCGACTAGATGGCGTATATATAATACGATGTTCTTTTCAAGGATGAATTGCAAAAAATATTATTTAAAATGGAATGATAGAAAAGATGATAATAATAAAGACAAAAATGAATTATTATTTTGTATAGCTTTAAATGAATTGTAAAATAGACTTCATGAAAAGAACGACTTAAAAATTAAATAACAGCATGAAAGAAAGAAATATGCCGAATTACAAGGTATATCTCCAGCTTAACTGTCAGTACAAGTATAAATATTTTCTAAGAATAATACATACATTTTTTGAATTTGCCGGGGGTTGCAATGCCCGCAAAACCCCTTCTTCTCAGATTGAGAAGGATCTATATGCGTCCTTCCACTAAAAAGCACAGGAAATCTTTGAGCTATCAATTGAACACCTTCCATTGAAATACATTATCCACAAAATTTTGAAACCAGAGCATTGCAATAAAAACATTTCAAATTCACCGACCGGAAAACAAACAAGGGTCCATAGATTTTATAAACGAGCATTCTACCATTCAACCATGAGTGCCACACGAAAAAGCTTTTACCATATTAATATATATTTCAAGTATTATACATGTGAATAAATAAACAATCCATTTTCATCGCTATGATCTCATTTCAAATACATTCTCCACAAAATTTTGAAAACAGAGTACGCCTATTAAGGTATTCGAATACCCTAAAAGTGTGCATTTTGCCAAAAATTGACAAATTTTTTAAATGAGAGCAAGGCTATAAAAATATTTCGATTGCATTGACCGGGAATAGAAACAGCATCACTCCATTCTGAACCATCAGTACCACACGAAAAAGCTTTTACCATATTAATATATATTTTAAGTACACTCATGTCCATAATTCAAGGATAATTCAGAATCACACAGAAAATGAACTCTAAAATAAAAATTTCACTTGTAGAGTTATCACACACATCTTGAAGAAGAGTATGCAAATTACAGGAATCCACCAGATGGCGCCGATAGTACGTCACATTGACGAGAGTGTAAGACAGGGGTATATAAGGAATGGTGGCAAAGAAGTAAAATTGTTAACAAGCGCTTTAAAAGCCTTTCAGTGCAATAACCGCATATTTATGGCACAAAGGAAGCATTTGGATGATTTTTTACGTGGTAGAATTATCGGACGACTAGAATATGGACGTACCCAGCTGGAAGAATCCGAAAAACTTGGAATCGCCCAGAGTGTCATCTCCAGTTTTTGGCAACGATTCCAAGATGATGTTAATGTGAGTAGATGTTACAGCACAGGTCGCCCCCGAGTTACAATGCCGAATGAGGACCGGTATTTGGCAGTTACTGCCAAAAGAAACAGACGAAGCACAGCATCAGAAATATCTCGTCAGTTCTCTTCATCTACCGGTACGACAGTTTCAAGGCAGACCGTGTACAGACGCTTAGGGCACATTGGTCTATATGCTCGTAGGCCTGTCAGATGTGTTCCCCTTACCGCAACTCATTGTCGCCTGCGATTAACCTGGAGTAGAGAGCATGCATTGTGGACACCGCAACAGTGGTCTTGTGTGATGTTTTCCGACGATTCCAGGTTTAGTTTGCTGTCTGATTCTCGCCGGACTTTCATATGGAGAGCGACAGGTACCCATTACCAACAAGAGAACACCTTTAAACGACACCATTAAGGTGATGCAGGATGGCTCGTTTGGGGAGGAATTATTCTTGGTTCCAAAAAAGACCTGCATGTTCAGAGTGTAAATATGAAAGCCACATCTATAGGGATGTCATTCTGGAACAACATGTAGTTTGTTTCGGGGTGCCTTGGGTGCTGAATTTGTGTTTATGGATGAAAACGCCCGCCCTCACCGTGCAAATATTGTAGACGAATGCCTTCAATCGGAGGATATAACCCGTATGGTTTGGCCAGCATACTCACCGGACTTGAATCCAGTATAGCACGTGTGGGACATGCTTGGCCGACGAATTGCAGCTCCGAGAGCATTGCTTAATGAGTGGTGTAATATTCCCCAAGATCAGATTGATAATTAGATACTCAGCATGCGTAAGCGTTGTAAGGCCTATATTGCATCGTCCGGGAGACATACTCCGTATTAACCATCATACTAACCATGTTATACTGTTTTTTGTAAATAGGTTGTTTTTTGAAATTTGCTCCAGGGAGTAAAAATCGCAGTTTTTAATAATTATGTCAAACATATAGCATCTTTTTGCTCTTTATCTTTTGTTTAATAAAGAGACTTTACAAATAAGTCAAATTTGTTTTGCTTCTGTATCTTTCTTTGCCTGAAATACATTATCCTTAATTTATGGACATTATTGTATTATACATGTCAATAAAAAAAAACCATTTTTAACCTTTGTGATCGGAATTCAAATACATTATCCACGAATCTTTGAAACAAGAGCACGCTTATTAAAATATTTCGATTGAACCAACCGCGGGTATGGAACACGGGTCCTCGAATGGAAACGAGAATTCTACCATTGAACCATCGATGCCACACGAAAAGTGTTTTACCATATTAATATATATTAAAATTATAATATATGTGAATATATAAACATACGTTTTCATCTTTATGATCAGAAATTAAATACGTTCTCACAAAATTTTGTATCGAGAGCATGGCTATAAAAACATTCCTATTGCACCGACCGGGAATCGAACCCGTGTCACTCGATTGGGAAACGAGCATTCGACCATCGAACCATCGATGCCACACGAAAAGTCTTTTACCATAGAAATATATATTTCAAGTATAATATATGTTAATATATAAAAACATCCGTTTTTATCTTTATGATCAGAATTCAAATACGTTCTCCACAAAATTTTGTGTCGAGAGCACGGCTATAAAAAACATTCCTATTGCACCGACCTTGAATCGAACCCGGGTTACTCGATTGGGAAACGAGCATTCTACCATTGAACCATCGATGTCACACGAAAAGTCTTTTACCATAGAAATATATGTTTCAAGTATAATATATGTTAATATATAAAAACATCCGTTTTCATCTTTATGATCAGAATTCAAATACGTTCTCCACAAAATTTTGTGTCGAGAGCACGGCTATAAAAACATTCCTATTGCACCGACCTTGAATCAAACCCGGGTTACTCGATTGGGAAACGAGCATTCTACCGTTGAACCATCGATGTCACACGAAAAGTCTCTTACCATATTAATATATATTGTATGTTTAATATATGTTAATATATAAAAAGCATTAGTTTTCATCTTTATGATTAGAATTCAAATACGTTCTCCACAAAATTTTGTATCGAGAGCACGGCTATAAAAGCATTCCTATTGCACCGTCCGGGAATCGAACGCGGGTCCCTCGATTGAGAAAAGAGCATTCTACCTTCGAACCATCGATGCCACATGAAAAGTCTTTTACCATATTAATATATATTATAAGTAAAATATATGTGAAATATATAAACATCCGTTTTCATCTTTATGATCAGAATTCAAATACGTTTGTTAAGAATCCCCTAACGAATTCTCTTTGTAAACGCCAGAGGGCGTCTGAACACTATGTAAGTAGATACTTTTGTTTTTGTTTACAATCACTCTGTACTCTGAACTCTGTACTTGTACGCTGAACGCAGCTCTCCCAACTTGAAGGTGCCAGGCCTAATAACACTGGATAAATAAATTTTTATTGTTAACGATGGCTCTTCTTTGATGACTGAATTTAATTGCCTGAACACAAATAATAATATTTTTTATGGAGCCGAAACCCAAAAAGAACCTTTAGATTGAAACTTTTCATTGAATTGTGGATAAAACGATTTCTTTGAGTGAACGTGAATTTCTGAATTATGACCGACTTCTTCTAGCAAGTGCAATGTATGCAAAGCTTACATTTTTTTTTTAAATTGTAAAAAAGTGTTTATATACTTTGAAAAGTTTCAAAATGTCTACTGATGCATTAGAAAAAATTAAATCTAAACGTAGTGTGTTACGTAAGTTAACAACAACTTTAGTTAATAAAGTTGAAGTTAAATTAAATTCGGGTGAAGAAAATGATGAATCAGAATTGCATGAGGATTATGAAATAATTTTAGATAGAGCTAAAAATTTAAAATTACTTGATCAGGATATTGAAAATTTAATTTCTGTAGATTCTACGGAAAAAGAAATAACAGCGAGCGAGGAGTATCAGGAAAAATGTTTAAGGATATTGAAAGGAATTTCGCGCTATCTTGCAAAAAGAACTGAAAGTTTGGGGGAATCAAATAATTCTCTAATTCAAAATGAAAATGTTTCAGTTAGTAATTCAATGAGAAATCAAAATTCAGTTAAGTTGCCTAAACTTACTATCGAAAAATTCGCAGGTGATCCAAAAAACTGACAAGATTTTTGGAACAGTTTTGAAAGCTCTATTCATAAAAATGACTCCCTTTCACAAGGGGAAAAATTTGCATACTTAAAATCTCTTTTAATAGGCCTGGCAGCCAATGTAGTTTCTGGTTTGAACTCATTAGTGATAACTATACAAATTGTGTTAAAAGTTTAAAAGAGCGATTTGGCATAAGGGATGTAATAATTAATTATTTCATGAATAAATTTTTGAATTTAGAAAGTGTAAAATATTCCTCAAATGTCCGTGGTTTGAGAAAATTATATGATGAACTTGATGTTTCTGTAAGAAATCTTGATTCCATGAATGTTACTTCGGGTTCTTATGGTCATTTATTAATACCAATACTTTTAAAATTTATTCCTAGTTATCTCGTTTTAGAATTTCACAGACAAAAAAAAAAGACGGCTGTGAAATTGATGTGTCTGATCTCATACGATTTTTAAGAAAGGAAATAGAGTGTCGTGAAACTTTTCTTTTAATTACAAATGAAAAATGTAACCCAATGCCATGTTATACTCATCAAAAATTTGAGAGTAAAAAATTTGTTAGAAATACACCCTCTGCCGCAGCTCTAAATGTCATGCAATGTACATGTATTTTTTGTAATGAATAACATGACTCGCAAAATTGTAAAATGTCTCCACACAAAAAAATCAGAATTCTGAAAAACTCTAATCGTTGCTTTAAATGTTTTAAGTCTTTTCACGTAAGTAAAAAATGCCGTTCAAATAAATTTCCATGTTTCAAATGCAAAAGCCAAAATCACCATAGCTCAATTTGCTTAGGAAATAAAGATTCTAATTATCCAAAGAATAATGAAACTAACAACACTCTTGAAATAAGTACTAACCAAATTGATTCAAATTGTAACTCAAAAAAAGATGAAACATGTAATTCTTCAGTTATTAGTAATTCTCTTTTAGAGCAAAAAAAAAACAACTGTTTTAAAAATGTTTATCTGCAAACATGTACAGCTGAGATTAAATCAGCATTTAACTCTCAAAATGTAAGAATACTTCTTGATTGCGGTAGTTCAAAAACTTTTGTAAGCGAAAATATTGCTAACACTTTAAAATTAAAACCAATTCGCCATGATGCTCTAACTATTTATTCCTTCGGTATGGAAAAGGCGGCGGAGCAAATCTATCCTGTAGTGGAATTAAGAAAGAAATCCACTTGTTTTTGTAAGAGGGTCGAAGCCCTTGTGATACCGCGGATATCGGGTGCGCTGGTACGCGGTGTTGACAAACATGTTGCACAATTTATGTTCCAGCGAAATTTGCAGCTGGCTGACTCTTGTAGGGGGGACGAAACGTCAAGCATAGATGTTTTGTTAGGGTCTGACTTGTTTTGGGAGTGTATTCTTCCCGAACGAATCTCCATCGAAAAGGGGCTTTTTGCCATAAACAGTGTTTTCGGATGGGTGGTTGTAGGTGCTAATTTATTGCGTCACGGGGAGCAAAACTGTTCCCTGAATACAGTGGTGATGAAAAATGTAGCTGTAATGAACGACTTAAAACTGTTTGGGGAACTAGATTCTATTGGTATAAACAATGAATGTGAAAATCTCTCGCTTTCGAATAAAAACTTTATTGATAATTTTGAAAATAATTTGCCTATAGGGGTAATAGAAACGAAACTAAATTACCTTGGAAGTCAAATCCTGAAGAATTAGATTGCAATTTTGAAAACGCTAAAAGGCGATTTGATAACTTAAAAATTAAATTAAATAAAAATAAAGATATTTGCGAGGAATATAAAAGAATAATTGATGAACAATTGAAAAATGGTATTGTAGAAGAATGCAGTGATAATTCTTTATTTTCGGGTTATTTTATGCCCCATGAGGCTGTAATTAGACCTGAAAAGGAAACCTCTCGCGTTAGAATTGTATTTGATGCTTCCTCGAAAGGAAAAAATTCAAAATCTCTAAATGATTTATTATTTAGTGGACCTAATCTGATACCAGATTTATTGCATATAATACTTAAATTTCGAAAATATGAAATCACGTTTTGTGGTGATATTGAGAAGGCGTTTTTAAATATTAGTTATTGCGCAGGAAGATCGTAAATATTTAAAATTTCTTTGGTTTGATTTAAAAGGTAGCGAGGATTTTAAAGTAATGAATATGCAACGTTTGCCTTTTGGAGTTACTAGCAGTCCATTTATTTTAACAGCGACTATTAAAAATCATCTTAAAAAATATATAAATGTAAATTCTGAATGTTTTAACATGTTAAACTTATCCCTTTATGTTGATGATCTGTTCTACGGGACAGATACTGTTAAGAATGCTTATAGAATAACATCTGATGCAGTAGATATTTTTAAACACACGAGTATGAATTTATGTAAATTGAATTCCAATTCTCAAGAATTAAAAGATTTGTGGCTATCTAATAATATAGCAGTTAGTAGTTCCCTTGCACCTGCTAAGATATTAGGTCTAAATTGGAATACTGATGAAGATTCTATAAGAATCGAAACATCTGCTTTAGAACAATGTATAAAGCATATCAAAGACATTAAAAAACGTTCTGTTTTGCAACTTGTGGCTAAAATATATGATCCCACTGGTTTTATATCACCATTTATCATGAACTTTAAAATTTTAGTGCAGAAGATATGGGTTAAAGGATTCGACTGGGATGAAATAATTTCTCCTGAAATAAAAATGGAATTTGAAAATTTGGTTTCTCAAATCAGCTATTTAAAAGATATTTTTGTTCCTAGAAAATACTTTGAAAATTGTAATTTTTATAAAGACATTTCTTTGCATATTTTTTGTGACGCGAGTGAAAGTGCATATGGTGCGGTTGCGTATTTTAGGTATTATGACAAAAATAGTGATATCAAAACAAACTTTATAGTTTCCAAGACCAGAGTGGCTCCACTCAAAAAACTATCTTTACCTCGTTTGGAAATGGGAGCAATAGTTGCAGCTAGACTTTGCAAATATTTGTCGGAATTATTTCGAGACGTTTGTAGTGCAATTCATCTTTGCTCAGATTCTGGTATTATTTTATATTGGATTCCTCAGGGAAGACAGCTGCTACGGAAAATTATTAACAAATGTTTAGCATGTAAGAAATATTCAGTTAAATCAGCAGATCAGTTATCCGGACAGTTGCCCTGTGATAGAATCTCGGAATCACCACCCTTTACTGTCATTGGTGTTGACTTCACGGGCCCTGTTTACGTCAAATTAGTGAACGACACTGAAAAATCCTACATTGCCCTCTTTACGTGTGCAGTCACACGCGCAGTTCACATAGAATTAGTGACTGGTTTATCTACAAGGAAATTCATTTTAGCATTAAGGCGTTTTCTTTCAAGAAGATCAAATTGTAAAACTATTTATTCGGACAATGCCTCTACCTTTAAATGTGCTAATAAAGAAATACAGTATTTCTTCAATATTATAAAAGATGAAGACTTTAAAAATTTTATTTCAGCAGAAGGTATAACTTGGAAGTTTATTGTTGAGCTAGCCCCCTGGTGGGGAGGCTTTTACGAACGTTTAATGAGATCGATCAAAGAACCTTTACGAAAAATAATCGGTAGGGCTAATCTAACATTTGAAGAAACAATGACCATTCTTGCTGAAATTGAAAATGTTTTAAATCATCGACCTCTGACTTACGTTTCCGATGATGTATCTGATCCTGAACCTCTTACTCCGGCGAACTTTCTTTTAGTTGGACACAAGAATGATTATCCCTTCAACTTTTCCGAGTTGTTAAATAATTCTATGACTAGAGAAAGCTTTTTGAAACGTAAATA